ATCCAGACTAGCAAAATAGTGTGAAAACAGGACCCATCCTTTTGTTCCATACTAGAAACACCCCTAATATTGAAGGTAAACATCACCTCATTATCTCAGAATAAAGCACTGGTCCAAGAATTTCTAAGCAAATGGATATAAGAAGCAGGTTGGTTTTTCCATACTAACATCTAACAAAATAGACTTCTGTGGTGATTTGAAAGGCAATGGCCTGAAAGGGAGTGGGCTATTAGGAGGAGTGGCCTTGTTGGGGTTGCTGTGGTCTTGTTGGAGGAAACTAAACAGAGAAACACTGGACCTAACAGACATGGTGTCCCAAATGAACATAATAGCTATCTACATCACATATCACCCAAATCTAAAGAATATACCTTCTTCTCAGTACCTCATGATTTTTTTTTCATAAATTGACCACATACTCTTTCACAGAACAAGTTTCTACAGATACAAGAAACTTTAAATAACCCCTGTATTATATCAGACCACTGTAGATTGAAGCTGGAATTCTAGGAAACAGAAATAAAAGAAAGCCTACAATCTCATTGAAACTTAAGAACCCTATACAGAATGAAAACTGGACCAAGACCAACATAAGAAAGAAATGTAAAACATTACAGAGTTCAATGAAAATGAATGCACAACATACTCACACCAATGCGACACAATGTGAACAGTGCTAAGAGAAAAATTTATAACTTTACATGCCTATATATATAAATTAAAGAGATCTCATATTAGCAACTTAACTCCACACCTGAAAGATCTAGAACAAAAATTAGCAAACACATCCAAGACAGCAGGAAATAATCTAACTGAGGGCTGAAATCAACAAAGGAGATGCAAAGAAAATAATATAAAGAATCAGTAAAATGAAGAGTTCGTTCTTTGAGAAAATCAACAGAATGGACACCACCTTGCTCTGGGATGTTCTGTATGCTGTGAATATGTGTTGCTCCAACTGGTTGATAAATAAAATGCTGATTGGCCAGTAGCCAGGCAGGCAGTATAGGCAGGATAAGCAGACAATGATATTTTTGGGAAGAGGGAAGCTGAGTCAGGAGATGACAGCCTGTAGTCTTGGAAGCAGCATGTAATGGCACACAGGTAAAGCCACTGAGCACATGGTGACAAAAAGATGAACAGAAATGGGCTGAGTTTCCATGATTAATTTATAATCTGCTGTGGGGTCTGTGGGTTTGGGGAGGACCAGGAAAACCTTTCAGCTACACCACCTAATTCATACTAACTTAAAGGCAGGCAGAAAATACACAAATTAACAAAATCAGAAATGAAATGTGGGACATAACAAGAGACATCTAAGACAACAAAGGCATCACTAGGGCACACATTAAAAACATGTAATCCACAAATCTGAAAAATCTAAAAAAATGAATAATTTTCTCATTAGCTACCATTTTCCAAAGTAAATCAAGGTTAGATAAACAATATAATTAGCCCTATAACCCCTAAGGAAACAGAAGTTCTCCATAAAAGTTTCCCCCCAAAAAAAGTACAGAGTCAGTAGATCTAGTGAAGAATTCCAGACTTAAGAAGAGATAATGCCAAAATTCCTCAAATTATTCTTAGAAACAGAAGTAACATTTCATTTTATGAAAGCACAGTTACCTGATACCCAAATCACGCAATGGTTCAATAAAAATATAATTTTAGGCCAATATCCCTCATGAACACTGACGCAAAAAATTCCATTAAAAACTTGCAAAATATATCCAAGAACACATTAAAGGATTTCCACAGTGATCAAGCAGACTCCACCACTTTTCAATATATGAAAATCTGTCATTGCAATCCACCATATACTCCTGAAAAAAAATCCACATAATTTTTTATTAGATGCTGAAAAAGACTTTGAACTTAATCTAACATGGCTTAATGATAAAGGGATATGAGGTATACAAAGAACATACTTAAACATAACAAAAGCAATATACAGAAGGCCTTTAGTCAACATCAAACTAAAAGGAGAGAAACTCAAAGCAATTCCACTAAAATCAGGAAAAACACAAGTCTGTCGGCTTTCTCTGTATGTATGAAATTTGGCACCACAACTACACAGATAAACACTGTCTTAAAAAACCAAACCAAACCAAACCAAACCAAACCAAATCAAACCAAACCAAACAAACAAAAAAACCCAGAAAATAGAGAGGTTGATCAATACAATGTAATTGAAGACCCAAATGTCAATCTGCAAAGCTATGAGCACCTGATTGTTGATAAAGAAGACAGAAATATACAACGCAAAAAACAAAGTATCTTCAACAAATGGTCTAACTGGATGTCTACATGCAGAAGAATGCAAATAGATGGCTATCTTTCACCATTCAAAACCATTGTCTAAGTGGATCAAAGACCTCAAAATCAAACCAGATATATCAACAGATGGCAGCTCATACAGAGATCCACAGCAAAACATTAGGCAGTATTTCTGGAAGCCCATGGAAGATGGGAAGAAGGGTTGAAGAAGCCAGAGGGGTCAAGGGCATCATCAGAACATGACCCAAGGATTCAATTAGGATGAGCTCATGGTCTTCAGTTACAGAGTCTAAAGAGTTCATCAGGGAACCTATATGAGTCTCAGATAGGTACTCTACACATGTGTTATGGATGTTTAGCTTGGTGTTCTTCTTGGACTCCTAGAATTGGGACTTGGTTTTGTCTCTGATTCTTATGCCTACACTTGGTATCCTGTTCCTCCTACAGAGTTTCCTTGTCCAGTGTTGATACAAGCATATGTGCTAGGCTTAGTGTTACTTTTTGTGCTTTGATCTGTTGATATCCCAGGGAGCCTTGCTCTTTTCTGAAGGGAAATAAAGGAGGGGTGGATATGGGAAAGATAAGTAGTGTGTGTGTGTGTGTGTGTGTGTGTGTGTGTGTGTGTGTGTGTGTGTCAATTGTTAGGAGAATAAAACACACAAATAAATCATTGGAGCTATCAGTCACAGACAAAAGAGAAAATATGCCATTTGTTTTCCTGGGCCTGGGTTATCTTGTTCAGTATGAGATTTCCTAGTTCTATCTATGTCAATGCTCATTCCATTGTTTTTACCTTGAACAGAATGCCACAGTAACATGTGTTAAAATTTCATTATCCATTCATCAGCTGAAGGACATTCAGGTTGTTTACTTGTCCTGGCTATTGCAAATAGAGCAGCAAAGAACATGACTGAATAAGCATTTATGCCATAGAATGTCAAGTTCTTAGGATACATTCCAAGGGTGGAAATGATATAAATATAATAGTTATGTATGGAAATCTCCATATAATTTACAATGAAAAACATCTTTTATAAAAGTAAAAAGATGCAATCTAACTATGAAAAAAGAAACTCTGGGTGGAAAATGTTTTGAAATTTTGAAATGAATCACCAACAAAATAAAAATTTTGTAAACCACCCCCACAGACAAAAAAATTAGCTATTGAATTGGAAAAATATATGGGCCAGCTTGATGTCTAAGTGGGCAAATGCTCTTTCTGCCAATCTTGACTCTCTGAAAACCATTGCCAGGATGCACATATGCACATGGTAAAAAGAGAAAATTGATTCCAGCAGGTTTTCCTCTACCTCCACACTTGTGCCATGGTGCATGTTGCATGTACACACACACACACACACACACACACACACACACACACAAACACACACATACACACTCACTCACTCATACTCACACATTCACCAAATAAATATAAACATTAAAAAGTTAAGAGAACATTCCAACAGTTTACTTGATTATAATATAGGAAAGTGAGTGACCTTAGATCATGCATTACATGATCTGACATGTAAATACAAAATCTGAATGAAAATTCAATGAAAATAAATTGAAACCATTCAAATTCCAAATTGTAAGTCATAAAAATTCAAGAAAGGATAAAGGAACATTGAGGTTTTCTTGGGAGGATGGAGGTGGCATTTAGAATGAGTTTTTGGAGCAGAATGAATATTATTAAAAATATTATGTGAAATTCACAAAAAATTTATAATATTTACTGAAAGACAGAAAAATAAAGCTTAGAAAAAAGGAGAGAAAAACTTACTTAGAGAAAATACTGTACAACTCTTTTGAGACATGAAGAAAACTGAAAATGGTCAGGCAAAAGATAATCAAATGACATGAAACAAATTCAAATCCAATCATCAAGATCACCGAGCATATTATTGTCATGAGAGATCCTGACATCAGATTGACAAAAGAGGAAAAGAACACGAGTGACTTCCAGTACAGCTAATGTCAGACTTCTGAGCAAACTCCTCCAGGACACAGGAGACAAGGATGACCAGCTGAGTGGATAAAAGAAAAACTCTGCCTACAAATGTCAACAACACTCTCCTTCAGAAATAATAAAAATTTTCTCAGAAAAACTGTAGCAGACAGAGTTCCTGACAATAAGCTCAGGGAAGTGTGTAGAATCTCTCAAGCTGAAAGAAAGTCTGGTCATGAGTTACTGGGTGTTATGGCCCACACTTTTAATTGCAGCACTTGGGAGACAGAGGCAGGTGAATATCTGAGTTCATGGGTAGCCTGGTCTACCAAGTAAATTCTAGGATAGTCAGGGCAACACAGAGAAAACCTGTGTTGAACAACCAGAAATTAAAAGTGTATCCAATAAAAGTTGAAGTCTGATTCAGCCAAGAACAGTATCTGGGACAATATATGAAAGAACTGAGTGGCAGGTTTTCAGAGTCCTAATTTCAATATTCAGAAGGCTCACCAACAAGTCACTCACAGAAGTCACCAGCAAACACCCTGTGATGCCTGCTTTCCTGTTAGAATGAAACCTATCTATTGCAATGGATAGTATCTCAATATTTAATTTTTTTTGTTTTTTTTGAGACAGGGTTTCTCTGTGTAGCTTTGTGCCCTTCCTGGAACTTTCTCTGTAGCCCAGTCTGGCACATGCCTTTAATGCCAGTACTCAGGAGGCAGAGGCAGGCAGATCTCTGTAGTATCTCAATATTTAAAGATGGACTCACCTTCTTTTGCCACTGTCCTCAGGAATAGGACGAGGCCTAGAAAGAAAAACTCATGATTAACTCATCTTTCTTTTTTCATTAGCCTGGCCATCTGACATCCCTGTCCTGTTGGTCCTCTGTACATTAGAATGAGAGCTTACTTAGTTAAGATGAACTCATGTACTAATATAAAACATGGAAGCCAGTGTTTCTGCTCTAGTCAGATTCAGTCTCCCAGGATGATATTTCCACCCTGTTATTCCACACCATCTATTCCCAGCAGGACTCACCAGTACAGATCAGGTTTAGGAGCACAGACAGCATGGTGCTGCTTTGGATGGCAAGAGGCAGAACCAGAATAAGACATATTGGGTGTCGTAAGAGGCTTGCTGTGTCTACCTGACCACAACATGGAGGGCATAACAAGAGAAACATCTGCCCTCGCTGCTACATTCATTATTGTGTGACAGGCTTTCTTTGTTCCCATGGCTATACTGGAATGCACTTTGTAGACCAAGCTAGGTCGACTTTGAATTCATTTGGCTGCCAAGTGCTTTGATTAAAGTGTATGTTCTCATACTAAGTTAAAAAATCTCTTTTGTCATTGACTTTGTGGATCATAAATTCTTGGAAATTGTTCAGACTAGCTTTTCATCAAAAGTATTTATCATGACTACAACTGAGTTGCATCTTGAACCCACTTCCTTTATTCAAAATGGTTATATCTGATTATTGTACTAAAAGTTTTGATGTGTTCCTTTGCTTTTTAAATTTGAGACTCAGTGTTTCCTCTGGCATTCTATGCAACATGCCCAGTAATTATTTTTCATATTGTAAGAATAGTACTAATGTGTCAGTTAAAATAACTATACAGCTATTATTCCAGTTTCAGGTTATAGTTATTCATTTTCTTAATTAATCATGTAGGTATTTAGAATAATAAAATTCCACTTTTTAAAAATCAAAAAAGCAAGTAAGTTTTTGTTGTATTTGAAATTTGGTTTTAGAAGTTGATAAAATATCAAAAGATGGAGAATCTCTCATGCTCATGTATCAGTAGGAATAGCATAGAAAAAAAGCCCATCCTATCAAAAGTAATCTAAAGAATCCCATCTACACAGTCACATCAAAATTTCAACACAATGCTACACAGATCCTAAAAAGACAATTTCTGGATTTAATTTAAACACACAGAGAAACTAACAGGATAGTTAAACCATCATGAACACTAACAGAACTGCTGGAGGTCTCACCACTCCTAACTTCAAGTCATACTATAGACTTATGTGAATAAACACAACACAGTGTTGGTGGAAAGGCAGATAGGTTCATCAAAGGAATCAATTTGAAGACCTGGACATAATTCCAGACATCTTATATAGGATCATTGTCGAGAATAGTATATGTCCTACTTAAATAAAGAACAAGTGCTGTAGAGTCAGGAAAGAGCTGTGTAAAATAAAAATGTCTTAAAATTGGCAACAAGAAGTTGTCAAATCATACATATTAAACATTCTCAGATATTTCCTTGTCAACCATTCAACAATGAAGTGAAACAACAAGACATAAAAATACATTTCTGGTGTCTTGGTAAAGAATGGTGAGTGTACAGGGCTAGAGAAATCACTTATCCATTAAGAGTGTGTTCTGAACTTGCAGAGGACCCAAATTCAGTTCCCAGTTCCCACAACAGGAGGCTCACAACTGCCTGTGACTCCAGCTCCAGGGGATCCAACCAATGCCCTCTTTTGCCCTTACAAGCACCAGAACTCACTTGCACATATTCACACATCCTTTAATCAGTGTGTGCTCTCATACCAGGCTAAAAAAATTGCCTCTGTCTTTCTGTATATTCACAACATATGTTTTTTTCAAAATAAGCAGTCTTGAGGGTTCAAATGTATTTTTCTGTCCCTCAGTCTCCTCTCAATAATTTTCATTCACCCTGAAACCCAGACAGTATGTCAGTGGTAGAAGAGAGGCAGCCAAACCCCACAGCTCCAGACAGTTACAGTCACATTAGCAGAATACTTAGGAGGTTATCCTTGCCTGCCATTAAAATAAGTTAGTCTTCCTGTGAAGAGAAAGTCTAGCTTTTGTGGGAGTTCTGTCTTCCTTGATAACCTGCTTTAATTTAGGACACAGGAAGGGTTTTTTTGTGGGTTTAAATGTTGATATAGCTGCAGTCCAGTTAGCTTTCTTTTTGTGTGCATTCAAAACCACAGGTAATTGTGACATAGTAGGATCCACAGGATGTGTGAGGTCTCAGTTATTGACCACACTTTTCTAAATTTGTTACATCAAATGCAAAATAAACAGTTCCTTTTTGAAATACTTAGTTGGTCTTGTGAGGAATTGCAGAAGAAACAAAGAATCCTTCTGTTTATATTTCCAACATGAAAGGAAGTTTTCCCTAAAAATGTTTAAGGTTGCTCAAATTTCTGTCTCCTTTTTCATCTTAAATTTCTTTTTATATTTTTCCTGGCAGCCTATATTAAGCAGCCCAGGTTGTACCAGAATTCAGTCATGAAGTCGAGACTGGCCACAAACTTGAGTTAATTCTTCTCCATCCTGCCCAATTCTGGGAATATTGGTGTTCACTACAAAACCTGCCAGTAAATATTTTTATCTTTGTATTTATTTTTGAAGAAGCAAAGTTTTGTTTCACTTGCAATTTCATCTTTGTGGATGAATCAAAAGTACTGCCACTCAAGAGACAGTGGTTATATTGTATCTACAAATAAAAATCAGATCAAGGAATAGATTCTTATACTCAACTTATTTACTTGACTTTTAAAACTTTAAGGAATTTCTTCTTAGGAAATTATGCCACTCACTATATATTGAGCAGAACTCTTCATAGCAATTATACTGAATCAGAAAATTTTCCTGCAGGTATTGGAGAAATTATTTTGGCCACTCCACGTAGTTAAAAGGATATTTATTAAATGGCGTAACTCACAAATTAAGTATTGGGTAGGTCGCAGGGTCTGGGGAAGGTGTAATGCAGTCTAGCG